GTTAAGTTAAATAATTGCGTTGCCCACAGTTCGTGAAATTTCTAAACGTACCTTAAGATATATGATCTGCATGATTTTAAATTCTACAAATCAGAATATTAATTCAAACAAAGAAAACTTTTCCATAAGATATAAACTTAAGAAATAAAAAAATTGTGTACTTAATAAAATTTTTAATTTCTTTTTTTTATAATAACAAAGACTGTCTCTTGGATAACAGTAATTGTTAATATTAAGTTTTGAAGTAAAAAAATTGTCCAAAAAGTTATAGAGCTCGTACCTAACATTAAAAATGATTTATCTGCCTCAAATAATGGTAGAAGACAAGACTTTAGTGATCACTTGATTAAAAAATATTCAACAAATAATGACGAAAAATTATTAATTCCTTATTCATTAATCAAATGCGTTAAATCAAAATATTTATTTTTTTTTGTAACCTTATAAAAGTTATAAAAATGTGGGAATATATGTGTGAGAAGAAAATCTTGGTTGGAAAGATTTTTATAAATTAAGTTAAACGATGTGTTAACAGGACAACAAAATAAGAATTTATTTTATTTATTTTTAAAAGAAAACGGTAATTTAAAATCAATTAAAAGCCAGAGGAAACAACAATAAACAATCTAAAACTTAACAACTAACCAGCAACTGTAGCTGTATTATAATAGCCACAATTGCAGAAGTTTCCAAGTTGAGAGACAATGTTCATATTAAAGTTTTACCTCTAGTGTTTAATCTGCTATTTTCCTGTATATATTTTTTATTTGGTTGGTAATTGGTTGGTGGTCAGTCAAAAAGGAAGGCAAAAATAAATGATAATATTTATTTTTTACATATGCCGACGTTTCGACCTGAAGTTCAGGCCTTCATCAGGGCTAAGAAAATAACCAGATAACAAGGTATGAAACATAAGTAGTGATGGTAAAAAAAATAACAAAAATAAAAAAATTAGAAAAATAAAATAAATAAATATAAAGTAAAATGAAATTGTTAGAATAATGACTAAGAACTAAGAGATAAATAATAATAACCGTTACAAAGTGTAGAATGATGAAGTAGGCATAATCAAAAAAGGTGACATAAGAGTTACAATGGGAATCTTAGAATAAAATGTAAAACATAAAAAAGAAATATGAAGTTATATAAGAAATGAAAATAAATAGTAAAATTAAAACAATGAGAATGGAGTAGTTAGATAGAAAATTGAGATATTGTAAAGTCTATCTAAGTCTTGAGATATTGTAAAGTCTATCAAGATGTACAGACAATGTATAATATAATAAAGAGTTAAAAACAGAGAAAAGGAATGAAAGGAAGGAGGGAAGAAATTGAGAAAGCTGAAATAAGAAAGAAATAAAAGAAGTACTACCTTTCTCCTTAAGTGTTGCAGGGAGAATAAAAGTCGTTACAAGGGAGGGGGAGAGAGAATAGATGTGTAGGTGGCGTCATCTCTAACGGCCATCTTTGTTTCTTTTTTTTATCTTTATTAGTTTAAAGATTTTTTATTTTATTTTAAAATACTTAAAACAATATTTTATGCTATGAAAGTACTAATCATAAGTGTTAAATAAAAAAAAATAAAAAAAGATAAGATGCTGAGATTCAAACCGAAGAATAATCTATAAAAAAAATGTATTCATATTAAGTCAAACACTTTAATAAAAAAACTTATGCAATTAGCAGACATGTTTTTCGGAAATGTAACATAGGAATGAAGCATTTATACAGGGTGTTTCATGGTTAAGTGGCCAAGCTGCAAAAATGAACTAAAGGCCTCAAAACTTGAAAAAATGTTCTTTGAAGGTATGTCCGCAAAAGCTTTGTTTAGGAGGTATTCATCAAACCTAAAGATTTTCGTTGTTATGAATTATTTATGTTAAATGAAATAAATAAAACATATTTATTTTGTTTACCTATTTTATTAATTAAATGTCACCATTTATATTAAATGTTGTTCAAACTGAAGTATGTCCGCAAATGCTTTGTTTAGGCGATGGTTTAGATAGAATACTAATAGGACCTTTTATACCTAACTGTATAAAAACTATTGGCAACTTAAGGATTAGTACTATTTGGAATTAGCATTGGAAACTCTCAATAACATTTATCAGTTTGTAAGAAACTTTCGCAGAGTACTCATCAATATGCTTTCCATTTATACTAATGGAGAATATGCTGATATGGTGTTTATATACGGTTTTTGCAATGGCAATGCTAATGCTGCCCGTCGTGAATATACTAGACGATTTCCGAATAGAAGATTATCAAACAAGTCTACCTTTAGCTCCACGTATTAAGGTCTTAGAGAAACTGGCACATATGCTACAATACCAAGTGCTAATGGTATTTTTTCCCCTTTACGAAATGAAGAAAGGAGCGACTATATTATAATATGTTGATGATATTCATCTGACAGTGTACAAAGAGCTGGAGGAGAATTAAATATTACGCCAACTGTAGGTACTGTATTATGGACAACTCTAATTCCACACAGACTTCAACCATACCATTATCAACGGGTAAAACATTTATCACCGCAAGATTTTTCAGGTTGGTACTTAAATCAAGTTGAGCATAATCTACAATTTTTAGGAAACATTCTCTGGACAGATGAAGCTACCTGTACAAAAAGAGATATCTTCAATTAGAAAAATAATCATCTCCGAGAGCAGGAAAATCTCCATGCAATTCGTGAGCATCATTTTCAGCACCAGTTTCAGCGCAATGTGTGTTTGAGGACAATAGACAATATTTTAACAGGTCCAAATTTCTAGCCTCCTCGACTCAATGCGCGCACATTTCTGGAATTTCTTAATTATGATTTAGTTGAACATATTCCACTACAACTGAGCAGGGACACGTGGCTTAAATTAAATGGTTGTCCTGCACATAACGGAAGAGGTCCAGTACAATGGCTAAATGTTAATAATCCCAATCAATAATTGGCCGTGCAGAACCAGTGGCTTGGCCTGCAAGCTCTCCAGACCTGAAACCACTGAATTGTTTTGTTTGGGGTGACATTAAACAAAAAGTCTATGCAAATCCGGTCAATGACCTTAATCCTTGCAAAGAAGGATAATATTGATTCTTGTTAAACAATAACACAAATCCAGTGCCGTTCTGCCACTGCTACTGTTGAAGAAAGATGCGGAGATTGCCTTAATGCTCAAGGAAATCATTTGGTCAAATTATTAGGTGTGAATATCTCATAAGCAAACGTTTGCGGACATACCTTCATAGAAATTGTTTTTGTTGTTTTGAGGTCCTTAATTCAAATTTTCAGTTTGGCCACTTAACCCTGAAACACCCTGTATATCCTTATGTCCGGGTTATTAACAGTTTATAAGATATTACTACTTACTTATTATACTATGTCTACACTACAATATGGTATATAATATATTTTAATTATAAATTGCTTTTCACAGCTTAATGCGCTATATTTTTCATTCGTTTGTTTTTAAATAACTTTCATAACTAGGATCCAGTATTAAATAATTGAGATAAAAAAAGAACTAATATAAAAAATGATTCAAGTTATCGATATTATGATGGAAGATGTGTTGAAAAAACAAAGAATGAAACAATTTAAAGTAATAATCTATTTTGTTTTTATAGTAAATATTTTTAAAAAATTCTTAAACTTTAGATGGTAATATTTATTAAATAACAGCAAGAAATTTTGAAGCAATCCAAATATTAATTTAAAAACGGTCAAAGAGGAATTATATATTTTATAGGCCAAAATATAACAACAGGGAAAAATCATAATGTAATTTAATAAACTTTAAAGTCTTAGGATAAATAGTGGTACATTTTTAATTTAATTATTAATCATTTATGTATACAACTTAATATCTTCTGCCAAATTACATACTACTTGCACAACCGTTGCCTTAGAAACATTTCTTCCATACAGAATACCGAACTTAAGACCGGTTTGTGGTTTTTACTATTATACCCCACGTTTTTATTATCCAAATAAATGGCGAGTAGTCAAATAAAAGTTATAAACCATAACTTTTAAGCGATAAATTGCAACTTTTATAAGACGTTTTCCAGAGGCATTGAAACGTACAACGGAAGTAGATAGATAGTTTCGTTATAAAAAATATTATAACTAAAAAAAAACAAAACTAAAGACTAATACTAAGAAAATATACAGCCAAAAGTAGACTCTTGACATAGACACGAACAAGAAATATATTTGAGTAATTCAGGAATGGAAAAATTTAGAGAACCATTTTTAAAAGTTCCATTTTCACAGTTTATGTGATACATTTTAGGGAAATGTTCGTAAAATAAAAGTTTTAAGCAACTTTTTTGAAATAAAGTTCCAGGTTTATAGTAAAAGTTTTATCTATTCAAGTTTTTAAAAAAAAGTTCCGTTAAATGAAATACAAAGAGTATTTAGACAATTGGATTAGAATTATAATTTCTCTTAAATGAATAACACATGATTCTAATGTGTCGTTTGTTTGAATACCCAGGGGGAATTTTATGCTTTTGTGCACAGAAGGGAGTTTTATGTTAGGAGCATTTTCGGACTAAGAGACCAGGGGCAACTATGGAACAGACCGCAGGAAGTTTAATTATATAGGATCTATGTTTTCTAATTCTACCTTAGCTTGCTCTGTTATTAAGAAAAGGTGAACAATAAAATATCTTTGGAGGAGAAGGGGAGGAGGGAGGAGGAGATTGATTCTTGCGCCATCGACATTGAGGAGGAATGGGCACCTCTGTGAATACTTATGAATTAAAGTCATTTTTAGAGAGACTTTTCAGGAAAATCCACAGAACTAATAAAGGGTTTTTTAAAATATAAGCTCTGTAAAACTTTTACTTAAACAGTAACAAGGGAAAAAATTCTAGTTGCAGGTTTTTTTTTTTCGATCTATATCCTGGAATAATTCAATCAGCTACGACCTGACCTGCGTTTGTCCGAATTTTCAAACAGGACGCCAATTTCGCAATGCCAATGCCAATGGTAAACTGCCTTAGAGCTCATCTTGATTAAGTAGTTTAACAACAGTTTGCAAAATCTTTCTTTCATCAGACGTCATTGGGCTATTTCCGCAGACAGGTAGGCGGCCAATCAATTCGCTCTGAGAACGCCCACTCATTCCAGACTCGTATCTGATTGGCTCCAAGGGCGGGTGGGAGGTAGCGGCTAGGCCAATAGGATATGCTCCTTCTGCTACATCAAAAAGAAATAGGAAAAGGACTCCCAGTCTCGGCCACGTGCTGCCCCATTGGTACTACAATAAAATACCTTCATCAGAACTCCATTGCCGAGAAGATATCACCTTTATTCTATAGGGAGCATATAAAATAAATCAGTCGGTTCAGTTCGTATTTTTTAATAATAATATTATTAATTGTATGTACATATTGTGTGAATGAATCATGCAGCCTTAATATTAATGCCCTTTAATGTGGCAGAATGTATTAATATTCAATAAAGAAAGTAATAATAATAAGAGAGAAACACTTTATTTTCATAAAATATAAAATATAAAGGATTGCTGCCCAATTACATTGGGTTGCTATACACACAGCATACTCTTCTATCCTTAAGACAATATATGAAAAAAAAAACAAATGGTAGAAGAAGAACGAGGCAATTTAATTAAATAAATAAATTAATAGATTTATTGCAGGAAGAACTAATTATATTTTTGGTCTAAAGGCCTGAGTATTGACAGGTTTTTCATTTTTTAATTTCATTTTAGAAACATAAGGCTGCGTAAAAATAACCAATTGCTTATGCATACTGCCCGATCCACGAAAAATGTAAACCTAAAATATACAAATAAATTTCTTTAATATTTAGTACAACCAGTTCGTAACAATTGAAAAAAAAAATCATAGAAATATTGATTTGGGAAGTAAAGTAGTGTCCAATCACGCATTCACGCTAATGAAGGATAGAAGGTTCGCTAACGAACATCACATTTACAAAATATCCCTAAAAGCATTTTGCATTAATCGCTCAATAAATAAATTTATTATTACATTATTAAATATAAATTAATCATGGACACCAATATCATTTAATTTTCATCTTAAACATTTGTTTCTGTAATATTTACAATAGTTGTTTTAGTTTTTTTATTTAATATATACTTATATAATTCATGTTTTTCTGAGAAATAGAAGAAACTGAAAACTAAAATAATTTTATTCAACCACAGATTCTACCACGCTGCGTAAATGATTTTAATAGGAATTTCGTACATATTACATAGTGGAAATATTAAAATATCAATTATGTAACAATTTTAAATTATGTAAAAAGCCTCCTCCCCCCATTGTCTTCCAATCATTCAACTAACAAAGAAAACTATAAAATTTCTGTGGGTCTCCAGTCATATAGGAATACCAGGCAATGAAATGGTTGATATAGCCGAAAAAGAAGCATCCATCATTCTTCCAGCACCAGACACTAACATAGCGCACTACGATTTCAATAACTCAGTTTTGAACCAGTGTTGAGAGGCCTGACGATATTGTTGGACAAAGGTTCTTAGTAGCAGCAAAATGAAAATAATTTTTAATGACATGAATCCACTTCCACAGATGCAAAGAAACCGACGGAAGCAAACTATTATCGCAGAATATTGATAATAGGGAATAATACCCTCAGAATAGGGCACACCAAGCTCACGCATGGGCATCTACTCGACGGCAGTTCACCACCAAGATGTCGCAGCTGCGATACAGCTTTGACAACGGTACACATTTTGGAAAATTGTCCGAGCTTGGATCCATCAAGGACTTCGTATCGCCTGCTAGGATATCGACAAGCCCTACAACCTGAAAATTTGAAGCACTTCCGTTAATTTCTGGAAAACACAGTAACTACATACATATTTAAACAATACAATTTTCAGACACGAACTCACAAATTAAATCAGAAAAAACTATGCAGCTGTAACAACACGTTCTTTAAACAAACATCCTAACAAAATACACGTTTAAAAAAAAAATACAACACGATCCCTACAGACATACTGAAATGAAATTCAATAATTAATAAAGTGCCTCCAATCTCTCTATACATATATTTGCACACGGCACCTAAAATATAATCAAATGAAATATCAATTAATAATTTATTATTTAAAATCATAAGACATAAATAGCAATAATCTAAATAAATAGCAACATATCTACTTTAATATCGATGTAAAATATCGATAAAAACAAACGCACTTTTTATTACCGATTTCATAATAACCTTTAAAAAATAATAATAGAATCATTTACGATATGGCTGAGCTGAATGCCTAATAGACGAAAAGGTGCTGCTGTGTACTACCTTACCCCTAGCCTCAAATGTCATAACCATAGTTTACAGTTTTATGAGGATATTATCGTAATTCTTGACACAGAAACGAAATACTAACGGGCAGAAGTCTTATTATCTAAAAATGGAAGAATAATCATCTTTCAAACAACAATTGATATATTGTAAGATATTTCTGTCTTAAATAATTATGTTAATTAGAAATTCTAATGCATTAGAATTTAGTTCCCAGAAGTAACAAAAATTTATTTTTTTCTGCTTATTGTCTGTAGACTTATGCAAGGAATTCGCAAGTGTATTTTAAAACGTTTTTTCTTATGTTTGTTTCAGGAACTATCAACGTTTATGCATGCAATCTAACAATTGTCATTAGAATATATATTAATATTTATTTAATATCATGAACATGCCTGCATTGCACCAACAGCAACCGCGTGCCGTGCAGAAACAATCGAAGCAAAGACATTGCGGCAAAAACTTGGAGAGCGGATCCATCTATAACGGTCCGAAGTGAAACCAGCAACTGGTATAAACAAGACGGAAATAACGTTGAGGCTGAAGTATGACTAAGTGGGGATCATGCGGAGTGAGGTACATCATTGGTCATACGTCACGGCAACTGCCTTAAACAGCCAAAGGGAAATATCGTGATTGGTCGAAAACCACGCCTCCCACTCCTACTATACCTCACCCTGGCTACGGGCCAAACATATCCGCCAATCTGATTGTCCCTAAGTCAGAAATCGTAATTAAGCGCCAACAGACGAATGATTTTCGAAAATTTCGTCTTTGAGTAGCGAAAAAGCAGTAGTATGGTCCTTCACACAACTGCAAGGTTGTTCCTACAACGAGCAAAATAGATGGATTAAAATGCATTAATTCCATAACAGTGATATTGTTTTTTTTTTATGCATTTGAACGGTCTGTTTGAATTAACTATTCACCTGTACGTTAAAGGCTTTGTAGTTTGGATTTTTCCATTTAGGTATAACATAATCACCTAATGTCTCTTTTTTAGCTTCACGCTTGTTTTAGTAGAATTAGATACGGCAAAATTTGAGAAGCATCAAGTGTCAAAAACTTTCGGGAATTAATTCGGACCGTTGACATAGTAATTGCCCATAAAATTAATCAAATGTATAAAAAACGTTTAAAAAAATTTAAATTTTAATAAAAACTCTAGGAATAACATATTAGGCACTTATTTAATCATATATAAAATAAAAACATTGATACTAAATTATCAGGTATAAAGGTAACTTTTTTTTTTGTATTGGGAACTCTACTTTTGTACATCAACTTGAAAGGAAAAACTTTTTCTTAGTTATATTTTTTTCCATGCATATGAGAGCATCGGTAATTTTTTTATAAAATAATATTTAGGCCGAAAACTATTCAGCTTAAACAATGTTAAATTCAGAGCAACAGATATATTAAACATCATATAGTGATAAGTAATCTTATTAATTAAATTGAAAACACCAATGAAATATTTGAAAAATAATTTAATTTACAAGATAATTCCATTATACCCAATGTTTACTTCAGATTTTTTTTTTAGTGCGAAACCTGATGGTTTTATTTTATATACTTTATCTTTTTATTATTCGCGATATATATTTAGTTATAACTGATTTATTAATATAAACAATATTTCTAATTGTATAATATAAATACAAAATATTAAAAATCAATTATCCAGTGCTAATGAGCAAAGTCTCATTTGTTAGAAAATTTTCATAGAACTTAGGCTCTTATAGATATGTATGTGTTCTTTTTATTTACTTATTTTTAGGTCATTTTACTCTTATATATTGTACACATATTATTTTTCTGTATAATGTATTTTATTTATTGTACATAGAGTGTGAATGTGATCTCTGAACACTATTATAAATGCCATTTGAGACAGATTGTGATATTTAAACAAAAAAAAAAAAATATTTTAGACTCATCATTTAAAAGAAGGCAGAACGGATTTTTAAGGGATAAAATAAATGAAGCTATGATCATAAGCTAGTTTAGGTTTCATATTCTAAATCTCTCTTTGTAATTTATTTTGTAAATTAGTATAAGTGATTTTATTGCCCAGAAAAGTATTATTAAATTACACGTAAATGTTTAACAAATCCACATTGCAATAATCACAATATGCCTGAACATATGATTAACAAATACAAATAATTTACATATAATAAATTATAAATTGAGTTTAAGAGTCTATATGTGCTATTTTCGTTTTTATTTAAATAATGTACGATATATATATATATATATATATATATATATATATATATATATATATATATATTTCTTTATTTATTTGTTTTTGTTTTTTCCTGTTGAGATTACAGGCCATGTAGATCTTTGCTGCCCTAACAAGTCTGCTCCATGTCTGACTGTCTTGAACTTTTTATTTCCATTTATCTGCACGCAGCTCTGTTGCATCTTTGTCAATTCTATCTATCCGTCTGCTTTTTGGCCTTCTACGTGGTCCTTTGCCTTCTATTGAGGTAATCATTGTTACGTAGAGGCTTCCAGATGGATTGCTACGAGCTACATGCCCCGCCCCTCTTAATCTCTTTGCCTTCATACCATGGAATCAAGGTCTTTTTCTAGGGTGCTGGGTAGTGTCCAGGTCTCACAGCCATATATTAGAACTGGCTTTATCATTGTTTGTACACTCTTTGTTTGAGGTTTCTTGAGATTTTTCGGGATTTCAATACCCTTGAGAGGGAGAAGAAAGCTCTGTTTGCGCTAGTTATACGCTGGTCTATTTTTGCCCGTTGGTCCTTCGTTGAGGTTATTGTGGAGCCGAGGTATTCGAATTTTTCTACTCTCGAGAATGACTTTCCTTCTTCGCAGATCCTGTTATTGCGGTGAAATTTTCTACTCATATATATATTTTTTTCTCCATTTACTTGTAGGCCGATTTGCTCTGACTCTTTTATCAGTGTTGTAGCAAGTTTCTCAATGCCTTCTTGATCACTTCCAAGGACCGCTATATCATCTGCGTATCCAAGGATTGATATATAATACATATATTTTTCTAGCTTCTTCACTAACGAAGGTAGTGAAGCTTTGTATTCATTCGTACAGCAGTTTGTTAAAATATCTATATATATATATATATATATATATATTTATAAAATATAAAAGCTTTCGAGTAGTATAATCAGTGCTAAACCAAATGTAGAAACGATTGTTGCGACACCTTCTACCCCAAAGTGTGGATGATACAATAAAATCACACAGAGGCAAGACGAGGTTTGGCTCGCATCCAAGTAGGGCCTGTTTTCCAATAGTCAGGGATCTGTATCTTAAACACGTCATTATTTCCACAACAAGAAAATAAAATGTATATACGTAGATCATAGAAATATATATAATAAATAGCTGATGGTTTTTTTTAGGGAATTTCACAACATAATAAAATCAGCAACATTCAGGTAGATTGATTAGATCAATTTTATAGAAAATAAATTATAGGTATAAAATTCTTATAAGTCGAAGGAAATAATATTTGTAAAGCATGTTATTGATACAATTTATCCTAGAACCGAACTTTATGATTTTATTTCGCTAATTTTCAAGCTAAAAGTGTAAAACGGGATTAGTAATAAGAAGTATTTTTTATTTAAAAAATAAGAACAAATTATAAAATACAAATTGATTTCGAATATTGAATCAAATGACTGATAGGAGGTTTAATACGACGTAAATATCATCAAGATCATTCTTCCAATTAGTAAATACAATATAAAAACGTAACAGCCCAAGAGCCTAATTTTCAAATTCAATCGACATCAACTTTATAATTAGCAGCCTATATTAAAGGAGAGAGAGAGAGTGGGAGAGAGAAAGATTTCTTTTCTTGGATAGACATTTTATATTTTCGTTTCAAGGAACGTTTTTCCATTTATTTAATCTAATTTTACGCAAATGATTTATAAATATTAACACAATTTATTTATTAATATACTTTTTTAGGATCCTTAATAATTAGTCCATTCATCATTATTACTTGAAACATTTTCTTTAATATAAAAGCAATGATAACAATAACAGTGTAAAGAATATCCGTAAATAGACTACCTATTAAGAAACCTTATAAAAGTATGATGCTATTAAGTAAATTTTTATAAATAATTTTAAAACGTTTAAGTAAATTTAGGTGAAATAATTGAAATCAATGAAATAAATGATCTGATGACGGAGAAAACATTTTCTACAATGCCAAAATAAAATATAATGATAAAAAAAAAAAAATAAGAAGTCAAATTGCCAAATCATCTCAGTAAAAAAAATCACACCAGTATTGAAAGTCAAAAGCGTATCATACCGGTTCAATGTTATCTCTTCAACAGGTCTTTTGAGGATATAAATGATAAAAATAAACGGTACTGAACTAACAATTTATAATGCCGGTAGTGAAAAGAACAAGCGATAAATCATGAATATTGAGTGAGATATAAATCAGGTGAATGTAAAAATAACTTAGATTAATAATATAACGGCAAGACCAACAGGAGCTACAGCCAGGGGCCGTTATTTCCGACCAATTACCATAATAGTACCTCCTGATGCCTCCAGGTAGTCCTTCCACTTCGTCCCACCCCTACACCCCGGCGCTATGGACCAAGAGAGATAGTGTAGATACATCAAAGCTCATAAATTGTGATTCCAGCTCCATAGGCATTTCTCCAGAACAAGCTAGGTACCCCTACTATTTCACATTTATGAAGAAAAGAGAGAAATCCTGATATAACAAGTTGGTCCAATCTCAATTTTTTTTTTTTTTTTTATGTGGTATTAAGACATTTCGGTAGAATATAAAAATAAATAAAATAGGAGTGAATTTTTTGCTTCCTCACTACTTAAAGAAGGGAAGCACTGTATTCGTGCAAGAAATTTTAAAAAAAATTGTGTTCATAATCGATAATTTCCACTGGCGTTTTACGTTTCAGAAATCAAGATTCAAATTTGGTTCAGTGTCTGACTGTTAAAAATCGATGTAACGATAACGGCCAATACCAAAATACCTTCTTTTGGAAAGTATATTTCCCTAAAACCGCTAGTTCGGTTTGTTTCAAATTTGGAGGAAAGTAAGGGATTGGTAAACAAATAATCAAGTATGTATGAGTTTTATCAAATTTTGTCCACTACTTCCAAAAAATTACTCCCGCTTTCAAATTGGAAATGTATATTTGACACGCCTACAGTTTGAAACTGGCTCGTTCGATTTTACCCAAACTTATAGGAAATTTAGAAAATAGTGTAGAAATTACCTAGTATCAATTTCATTTGATAATATAAAATTCATATGAATAAGTTCGGTTCTAGGATAAATTGTATCAATAACACCCTTTATATCAATTGTTAAAAATATTATGGCTGTGAAATTTGGAAGGCATTGATCATGAGAAGTGAGAGTTGGAATAATACGTTATTTTTATGGAGTTATAAAATTTTAGGTTTTATTTAAAAGGTTAATGTATATTATATTGTTTTCTCGATTCCAAACGTCACTGTCATTGACACTTACTGCCGTTACTTAGATTTCGTGTATTTTCTCGTAATTTTAATTTTACTCTGAGATTGTAAAAAAAAAGAGACTTATTTTTGACTGTGTTTATTTCTATTGACGTTCAACCAGTTCGTTGTGGTCTAGATTTCCTCCTTAAATATCAAAGTTGTGTGAAGTTCACGCATATTTGTATATATCAGCTTAAATAGTTTTGCTGTGACTGAAGAAAAGTCTTTTCCAATGAATTTTCTGTTCCATAAATTTTTCTGATAAAAACATATCTATTAAGTGTAAATCACTGTTGGTAGTGCAAAAGGTCTTATGTAAAATTTTTAATTTTTATTCTATTTGAGTTAAAAGGCTGCAACTGATATAAGTTACATAAATTATACTAATAAATCATAAAGAAATAATTATTTTTATACTCTCCTGTAAAACACTCAATTTTTACATACGACCTTTTGCACTAACAGTAATAATATTGTACGGGATTTTTTTTTTTTTTAATTACGCTTTGATTAATGATAAAATATGGCATCAGCAAATGCGGAACTCTTTCGCATTTTAGTATTCCCTTATGAACAAAGCTCATGGATATCAAACCCGTACATGTTGATGGATTACTGAATTTCTGAAAACGGCTTCACCCAGAGATTTTATTCTCATGGAAAAAATTGTAGATCTTGTAATATAGATATTTCTTAGCCTATGAAAACGGCGAGGAAGCTATACTGATTTTACTTGGCAGACGATTTTTTTATAGCACTTTATATATTTTTCTGACATGGTTCAAGGTCCTGAAATTCTCTTTTTTCTGCATATTTCTATTTTAAGGAGATATTTCATTCAGTGTTTTCGTTGACAATGTCATTGATTTTTTTATTAATAATGATTAATAGACGTGGCTCACCTCCTCTCCTTTTTTTTGTTGGACTTACAACGTAAAATTAAAAGTTATAATTTCATTTCCAAACAAATTTTTACAGCGTTCGGGAGGTCCATTTTAATCTGGCTAAATATGTTATTTGTTACTTTTTTTTCAGATTCGTAAAATTTGCTATGTCTTTTAGTTATGAAATTCTTAACTTATATTTTTAAAGGTATTTTTAATAAAGCTATCCTCTGGCGGTTTCTCTTTTTTCATGGTCGTTCCTTTAACTACTTTTTTTAATATTACATTTCAAGCTATTTTTCTAAAATACAAGATACAAGTGGCAATGGGGTATAAAAATGTTTTTATTCAAATCTGATTGATGCCGGGAGACTCTCAGTCCCCATTCTCCTAGTCTGGAGTCTGTGGCATATGTTATTTATTCTTTTAATACGCCGTGGATTGGCGTTGTGTTTGTCCGAGAATTGAAATCTCTAGGACACCAACAGATCGGTTATGAATGAATTGTCAATCATCGCTTCATCCTTTTTTCAAGAGGCTGAGGCTGCTAATATTAATTGACTGGCGTTGCACCACCAACTTGTTTCTCCGGTGTTAGCAACTTATAACAGAACCAAACCCAATATGGACGATAAACACCCTCTTTATTTGGCTATGGCGCGGATTGGCTATCACAACGCCAGTTAATTTCTCCCTCAATCCTAACTTAACCTCAATCTCTCTTTAAATTAATGGGCTACTGGAGTGGTGGCTTCAAAGTTTCCTTGCTGACTGGATTCATTTAGAGTGGACTTTAATTTGATTGTGGCAATTATATTGCTTTTTCTTGAAAAGGATTTAACATACCCCAATCATCTCGGAAGGAATTAGAAATATACTTATAATCCATGAACTGTGTAGGAAATCAATCTCATATAGAACTTGAATAGTATTTGATTCCATTACGGTATTTGGAATCAAAACGTTACGTAACGTCCAGATTGATTTAGTATTGATTTTTAATGTTATTAGATATGTTTGACTGTACATCAAATTGTAGGGGAAGTTAGTTGAGAGTTCTGTCAAAGACGGAAGTACACTTCATTTTATTGTGTGCCGCCAATAGTTGCCGATTTTAATATTAAGCCTTTACCAGAGTGAAGCAGAGACGAGATAATAACATCCAATGAGAAAAAGAATAAAAGGCATATCAACAAGAAAATAAAATGTGTACGTGTAAATAATAACAAAAATAATCTATTTCTGAAGGAGTAACTAACTATCTTAAACGTTATCTTGGTAAATACAGAAAACATGATGTCCAGCCAAACAGCATTTTTTAAAAGTCATTCGCCTCAGTATAACGTCCAATCAATTGCCATTTAATTTTAGTTTTAGACAGAAATAATTTTAATGTTCTTATTTTATTTTATTTTTTTTAACGTCAATGCAGAATATTTCGTGATGTTTTCTACTTCTAAGTAAATTAATATACATTTTCATAAATAGAAACAAATTTAGAATAAATAGATCTCTTCTCAAAACAGAGATGCATGTATCGGAAAATGAACCTCATAGTTTATAGCAAATAATATCAATTATTTTCAATACATTTTAGGCCATCATTTTCTGAAATATCTTGAAGATACCATGCTGTACTTTTTAAAAATCTAATTTTGAAATATAAAAATTAGTAAGCAATATTTTAATTTTTTTTTAATAAGCAGCAAAGTCATTCATTTTTTTTTTTTTTTTTTTGTGAAAAAATACATTTTGCCTCAATTAAGAGCATTGAGTATTAGAGATACAAGAAACTTATTCGTACAATATATACAATTACAAAAATAAGAATAAGATAAAATAAAAATAAGAAAAAGAAAGATTGGTTAAACAGAATAAGCAGCAAATTCAAATTTCAGAAAGGAAACATTTCCAACTTCAGAGAAGGTTTTCAAATAACTAAAAATTAATCTGTAAAATATGTTTCTTCATACATGCTGAAGTAAAATAATGAACTGTTAAGACACTTCTGAAGTTAGAATCAACAAATCAGAATCAACACGATTTATTTTATTTTTCGTCTTATTTACTTAGAAGGGCTATTTGCCCGACTATGTAGTGTGTTGCATCTTACCTTTGGAAACCTATTTCCCATTTAAATATTTATTAACAACTATATTCTTCAAATGAGGATATGACTTCAAATGATTAGTTAGTTGATAGTATGCCTATGTCCTTCAGCGAAAAATTTAAATTGGATTAAAATCAAACGGTCTTAACATTTTTATTTTTATGTTTTCGAATTTGTCGTTCGGTCACATTCTTGGAAACCAAAATTTTTTCAAATACTCAAGCACTTTGTCTGAAATCGATTTATTCGTTTTAAATTTTAAACGTATATTTATTTAAATCCTAAAATTCATATTTAATGCGTCAGTTCGAAAATGTAGGTGCATTTAATATGGCAATTTCAGAAATTGTTGCTAAAATAAAAATATGTATATTATATACATTATGGATAGACACTGAATTTGTTAGACTGTCTCTGTAGTATATATATACATATATATTTCGTTTGGGTAAGAACACCCCTTAAACAATTAGATTTTAATTTAATTAAAAATAAATCCCGAGCCAAACTAATTGTATGTGTATTGATAACCGCAACAATCCGCTAATTAAACCATGTAATTGATATGAATTGGCTTTGACAAAGCAAGAGTGAATTTGTGCAGGAGTTTTACAAGGGTTTATTGATCCGTCACTAAGCTCAGGGGGACATGCAATTTACTTTCCTGCTGGTACATCCCCGCAATCCTGGCTATTATCGTATTTGGATGTCTATTAATTTTTTTTTATTAATTTTTATGATTATTATATCATAATATCGCAGTTAACAAACTGAAGATAAACTTTCATGAATAAATGCTACATAAAATAACAATTTTAAAATGACCGTTTTAAAATATCTCCATAGAGGGAGGAGTTGATTTAGGAAGAAGAAATGTTTTCCAAAATAAAATCAACTAGTAAAGTAAAAGAAATTAAGATTAAGTTTTTTAAAATTGTATTTCTGTTCGGTAACAAGTATATATTTTATCCAAATAAGTTTTTAATAATTAAAGTACACTTTTAAATATATGTGAAATTTGATGAAGTTGATTGGAGCATATCGGTCCATCCGTTTCAAAAAAAATAAGACCATTTCAGAGAAAATGTCTCAGTACCTGTCTAAGAAAAAGAAGGGGACAAAAATTGATAAAA